ACCCTGCAACATGGCATATGCAAACAAGTTTTGAACCTTCCTAAACTTAGCAGATCTGATATTTGTGAACAACTCATGGGTCTCCTTCCAATCACTGCAGAAATTGATACCAGGAAACTTCTTTTCTTTGGCAGACTTTGTAGACTAGATATCAACTGTCTTTCAAAAAAGATCTTTACTTCGCACTTATTCTCCTTCCTCTATCAACTAAGTGAGGACCAAATGGGATTCATCCCGGATGTATTATTTCTTCTCCAGACATACCAACTTTCCCATTACTTGAATATCTGGCTTTCTTCTGGATCATTCCCATCAAAATTATCATGGAAATCTATAGTGTGTTCAACAGTTTACAAAAACCACACTCTTCAACGTACCGATAGAACTGAGTTTGACCCAGACTTTTTCAGATTTAATGCGGTAATTTGTATATCAAAGCCTATCAACATGTGGAAAATTGCAGATTCTTTCCGTGAAATTCAAAACTTTAAATACATCTGTAAACTCATTGTATCAAAACCCGCTCAAAATCCGTTTGCATGCATGTTATGTGGTCACCCTGTTACTGACGTTTTTTCCCATGCTACATTATCCTGCCCAGCCCTTTCGAATCAACAAAACATATGGTGGAACTCTCTATCTGAATCGTTTAACGTTCACCTTGAAGCTGAATTAAGCGGTCTTCCAGAAGACAAATTATTCAACATTCTTCTTGGAAGACCAACACAAACAGTCATGACTGCAAAAAAAGAAATCGAATTTAAAAAACTGAATTCCATACACATCGTCTCCTCCTGTGCACTCTACAACAGGCAATGCAAACACACATCCACCCCCTTTACCACAAAATAGTGTATGATATGTGTATCATTTTCTGCATTCACAGTTTTGCGTATTTTTGTTCTTTGTTTGATTTTTTTTTCTTTTCTTTTTTCATTACTTATAATATGTATTCTTTCTTCTCCTCACACTTTGATTGATTTATAATTTATTTATGTTATACTTGTCATGTTAAAAATCTCTGTAATAGAGGAAATAAATGATGAATGAATGAATGGGAGCCAGCCCCTGTGGGTGAGGGTTTGTCCCGAGAAACAATTAGATTATTCTAACTACTTTGAAGTAGATTCTAAATCAAGTAATTGAAGAATTGGAAGTGTTTGTCACAATAGAATCTTTTTTTTTTCATTTCATTAATAGTTGAAAATATTGATCATTTTGATCAACAAATATCCTTCAATGTAGATCTACATGTTCAAGACGAATATGATTGATTCATGCTTTTTTAAATAGAAGTGGCATTGTTTTTAGACAGTAGTGTGAATACATATCACAGATTTATATATGTGTGTAATTTGTGAATAGATATAGTATATAATGAAAAATTATAATGCATATGAATTTATGAATAAGATGTGATTTCCTTGATGCTAGAAATTGATTTTAAAAGGTGCTTAATGATTAACTTGCATATATATATACTGGTGTAATTAAATCAGTGCAATTTTATCAGAAAGTAAGGCCAAGAATTAAAAAATTATTTCCACTTTCAGGCTGAAAAAAATTATAGGTAATGTCACGTAGGTAGGCACTTAAGGAGGAATTCTTGTCTGGTTTCTGACTTGATGAAATATTCAAAGTATATTTGCTTATATGTTTTATATATTTAGATGTAAGAGATTTAAAAGATCATATTTTTCTTTCCTCATCACAATTGTACAACTTTAAATAGAAATGGTAAACTGAGTTTGAAATCTACCAGGGACTATATTTTTGGCGAAATGGCGGCGTATGAAAATATCTTCTTTTCTGCCTCTCAAAATAATTATAGAACAATGAATTTAGTTATAATTTTTACACAATCAAAGACTTGGAGAAAATTTTTAAATGCAAGTTAAATTAATGATAAGGAACTTAAGTTTTAAAATATATCAAATAAATAAACTACAATTATGTTAGCTTTTAAAAGCTTCCAATCTAAGTTCAGATTTGAGCCAAAAATTCGTAAAAAGTGTTTTTTCTCTCTTAGTAAACGGTCAAAACTTTTAGTTTTTATACCATTTTGTATCTTTATGTGACAACTTTACCATATGTGAAAATAAGAAAAATTTAAATACATATAGGAAGCATACAAAAATAACTAAAATATCTTAAAATTTTAAGAAAAGTAGAGAAAATTCGGATTAGCCAATATCCATTTTAGTTAAATTATTTATGTCAATTTGGTAATATCATCTTATAGACCCAATATGGTAATATCTCTTTATGCAGAAAGAAAAACATTTAATTTATTGAAATAGAAGTAGGCATCGCGTGATTGGCAACAGTAATTTTTTATTCTTAATGTCCAGGGAAAACGAAGGTACTGACCTTGACCTGACCTTGCCTCTAATATAAAACGGTCAAATTTAATCCAACTGATACCATCACTTAGTGATATTGTCTTCTTGATTCTGTGAAAATTTCATTGATTTTTAAATATAAGAAATAAGTGTTTTTATGAGAAGAATCCCTCCTTAAAAAAAATCCTTGACTTAAAAAAAAACATCCAAGAAACACTGATGATCAACAAAAGAAATAGTGTTTTTAAAGAATTCTGTGACTTAATTAAATTGATTGCAGAGATTCTTAAACATCAGACAAAAACTGAAAATTCAGATTTTCACTAAAAAAAAAAAAGCATTAATAAAAAATTATATATAAGGTTCGGTGAAGAAAGTGGAAAGAAATGTTTTTTGCTAGGCCTACCAAATCATATCTTGCTAATTGAGAGATGAGTATTCATTTGATATCCTAGCTGATGCTTATAGAGTAAGCATTAGGTCCCACATATATAATACTGCAAGTTAAGAAGAATTTAAAACTTTAATTAATTAAATTCTTATTGAACAGATACATAATGTCTGCAGGGACCTAATACACTATACTACTATATACTACATGTATGCAAGTGACTCGTTAGCTTATATAATTTTTTTCTGTATTAAATAAATAATAATAGAGTTGTCATTAAGCATGATAAGTATACATATGTACGTTGTTAACACCTGTCACAAGGTCTAATTATCAAATACCAAAATACTTGGGAAAAAAATACAATGTAGAAATCTGCAATTCTTCATTAAAAATGTTTGTTTTCCATTTAAATGGCTATAATAACTTAACAAGGGCACCGCAAAGCGGAGCATCCCCTCTCAAAAGAGCACGTCAATCCTGATATGAATTATTACTTGCTTAACTTTTGTTATGCATTCACTCACTCCCCTCCCCCGGGCCCAAACACACACACACAAGCATTACTACATGTATATCCTCTCCAACTTTGTCTGTCCATCCGTTACACTTTGGGGTACACATCTCTTATCTGCAACTCCTACTCACTGAATAAAATTTAATGATACTTTCGCAGATTCTTTATTACATAGTGCCATTGTGCACCTCCTATTTTACTATTTGATCAGACACATATTTTGGTTTTCCAATAGCACAATATAGAACACTACCATTCTTTCTGTAATATTCAGGGGTACCCATCTCTTATCTGCAACTCTTCCTGTACCACTGAATAAAAGTTAATGATACTTTCACAGAATATTTACCTGATATTACAAAATGACATTGTGCACCTCCTATTTTACTATTTGACCAGACACATATTTTGGTTTTCCAATTGCACAGTATAGAATACTGCCTTTCTATAATATTCAGGGGTACCCATTTCTTATCCGCAACACCTCCTTTACTTTTTGATCAGACACTTATATCGGGTCTCCCATAGCAAAACATGGATTTTGCCATTATAAACAAATGGGAGGCATGGGGTATCATTTTGTGAGCTCAGTGCTCACAGTACCTGTACATGTACTTAGTTTTATTACAATCTTTATTGCCCAAGATGTACGTACATCTTATGAAATTTAATCAATATAACAAACATACAAAAGTGGATTCTCAAAATATTCTCAAAATTTACACATGAGTAAACTAGTTCATTGTTTTGAAAAGCTTATTACAAAATTTGGTTTGAACACTATGCTTTATTGAAAATTCACTTAGATATTATGCAAAACTTTTAATTTTAGTTAGCAGTAGGTAGTTTTTATTTGAGAAAGAGTATTTATTGAAAGTATGTATAAATTGTATAATTATTTGTAATGCTCAAAGAGCCACGATATATTTGATACATACAATGTACTTTTAAGTCAAATAATGATGTTTATTCAGCAGTTAAATGTGTTATCAGGTAACTGGGACATGACTTGTCTTTCCAATAGCTGTCCCTTAATTTTTAATACACTGTGCAAGTACTTCTGTATTATTTTACAAAATACACACTGTGGCTGAACTGTTGATGTGAAGTACAGAGATATTGACATTTTCTTTGCTCTGGTGTGACAGGTGAGATTTCTATTTATAGCATAGTTTTTGTCTGCAGCAGTGTTGTGTTTGATAAAACCATGAAGTAGATACACCAGTATTCAAATTCGGGTAGCATTACAATTGTTGTGAACTTTAATTATTTAAACAGAGAGAGTTATGTAGTGTCATGCCCAGGTACTTGTTGAATATACATGCATGGTGTTCATAGCAGATTCGACACATGCAAGCATTTATTTATGAAACTGTATAAAGGATCTTGCTTTGCATATTACAGGACTTAATATTATATGAATATAGAAAGATCAATACAAGTGTTATAAGCATCTATTAGCTTTCTATGTATATATACATGAGGAAGTAGCCATTATAATCCATAGTATACTAACGTAATGTTGGAGGACGAGTTTGACAGTGTAGCCATTATAATCCATAGTATACTAACGTAATGTTGGAGGACGAGTTTGACAGTGTAGCCATTATAATCCATAGTATACTAATGTAATGTTGGAGGACGAGTTTGACAGTGTAGTCCTTTAGTTTTAGTAATTTACCTGAACTTTTTTTTACCGTGGGAAATTAAAGATAAGTTTTTAATTATCCTGAACATTTTGCAGATTACCTGCCAGTGGCTAATTATCTGTAAGGATGCTCAAAATGCTGGTGTATGTCACTGCATGGATGCTAAGTGATCTAATTTGACATCACCATTATGGAGCTCATATTTAAGGATATAAGTGTAGAGGTGGACAAAAGGCTTATTCTTAACAATGTGAGTGGATTGGCCAGTCCAGGAGAGTTGTTGGCCATTATGGGACCCAGTGGTAAGATCAATCTTTTTTTTTTCTTCACATGCAATCTTCATGTTATTGAAGGTATATTTATATACTATACTGCATACATTGCTTTGCTCAATTATACAGAAAAAGTACTATAATATATAAAAGCATCTTCATTTAATATAGATTCATATGTTTCAAATTTGTTCAAATAATGGAGACAGATGGTCTCTGGGGTAGACATGGGGCTAAAAAGAGGGTACATTTATATTAAAATTACAGTTATAAAGAAGGAAACATCTGAAAGATTTTTTTTTTTGTAAAAATAAGGGTTTTATTCTGGACTGTTCAAAGACTAGATTCTTTGAGCAAGAAGTAGCACATTGATTTTGGATTTTTATATCAGGTGCAGGAAAGTCCACCTTGTTAAACACATTAGCTGGCCACACCCCTCTGTCCTCAGGAACTATTACTGTGAATGGACACACCATTACAAAGGACCTGAGGAGAAAAATCTGTTATGTCTTACAACAGGATATTTTTTTCCCAAGCCTCACACTCCGGGAGACATTGCAGGTATTATAGATCTTATTGATGTGTGACCTTTGTCTTGAAACCATATAGTTATAAGAATACGTTCTATCAAAGTGGACATCAATCATTTTTGCAAGATTTTGTTGAAACTTGAAAAAGAATAGTTAGGATACACAGGTATAAAACTTTGTCTGCACAAGTCAAGGTTACTTTGTAGCAGAGAAAAATAAGCAGTTCATAGTAATAACTCATAGATTTTGTCATAAATGTAAAACTGTCATTTATGACATTTCATGTTTGTTTGAACTATTTAGAATATTAAAATTTTATCTGGCCAAATTGAAAGTTAATGTCAAAACTTCAGGTCTGACAAATAAAGGTCATGTATAAAAGTCAAAATCTAAAGTCTTTGTCAACTCTGGAGGAAATGAAGTATATATACATTTATAGAAATAATGTTTAAGAAATATATACCATTGTGTATTACATGTTTTCAAGAGAAATTGAAATTCTTTTCTATAGTTCTTTTCTTTCAAAGCATGGTTTACTTCTGTAATAGTCAGATAACCTCACTTACTAGAAACTAATTCAAAATTGCAGTTTACAGCCAAAATAAGGTTACCAGATAAAATGTCCAATGAGCAGATCACATCCAAAGTTGATGAAATTATCAAGGATTTAGATTTGTCAAAATGTGTAGACACAAGTAAGTGCTTTTACACTGAAAATAGACAATTAAACCACTGATATTTGATGAATTGATTATATATATATATAAAACAGACTATGCTAAGTTTAAAAATTAATTCTTGGGGGAAAAGTCAAAAATATTTTACATACTGTAAACCAACTACCGGTATTATTCGCGTCATCTTTTATTCGCGATTCATCAGTTTGAAATCAGTCCAAGACAATTAATTATTGAGACTGAGTAAACATTCTCTACAAATACAAAGCAAAATAAATGGTTTGCAGTAATTGATATTTGCGAGTTAAAGTAGGTCACGAAAGTTGTGGATATTTCTCGCACACGGAAAAAAAGTTGGTTTACAGTATCAGTAAATGTACATAGAATTTTGAAATGGTCCCTTAGCCTCTGTGGAATCTAATGGTAGATTTATCAGATATTGGACATGACATGTATCTTCATTTGTCTGGCAGTCATGGGGGATGTCTGGGTGAGGGGTTTGTCTGGGGGAGAGAAGAAAAGAGCCAGCATTGCCTGTGAACTTGTCACAGATCCTGTTATGATTCTGTTGGATGTGAGTACATTACTGTAGCATCATCTACATGCCTAAATACATTTATATTTATCACCATAATCACAAACTAATTTCAGAGATTAAAAAAAGTGCCATCATCATCATCATCAGGTGATCAACTGACCATCAACACTATTTTTTATTAAACACATCTAGAATTAAAGATAGTTTTCATTAGGGAAATGTGTTTTGCAAATATGATTTATTTTGGATATAGTAGGAGTTAAATTCCATTACAAGAATCTTAATGGTATTTTCATTCAAATGGGGAATCCCCATTTGAATGAAGATAATGGCAAACAATGAGTGAAAATACCAATAGTGATTTTCATGCATTACATTGGTAGTTTTAATTTTTACTAGCCCAAGGGGCTACCTCCGTGCAGAAAACTACTAGCCCGACCCCCAAAAGTGGTAGCCCCGGGTGTCGGGCAATGCTAATTGCACACCCCTGTGGGATTCTTTGACAGGAAGTGAATTGGAGGTTGATATCAGAGTTGATATCGGGTTACTCGGGTAAGCCCTGTGGCCTGAGAGCCTCTTGTATTTGTTTTTCATTGACAGGAGCCCACATCAGGCCTGGACTATAGTACAGCTTTCAGTCTGATTGAGATGCTACAGTCCTATGCTAGAGATCACAAGAAAACAGTCATTACGACGATTCATCAGCCCTCCAGCTATATCTTCTACCAGTTCCACAAACTACTGCTCATCTCTGATGGAGAGGTAATATCCCCCCCCCCCCCCACCAAAAAACATGTGAGATTCTTATTCCTTCAAGCATGTTTGTAAACTTTTACTGGGCTTGAATAAAGTGAATGAAAATGCAGGAGTTCTATAGGAATCACATTGTCCATCTGTCCATCAACACTTTAGTTGTGACACTATAACTCAAATAGTTTTCAACAAAATGTTTTCAAATTTTGTACAAAACTATTTTACTATAAGAGCAAGACACCTACAAAGTTTAGGGTCATATCACTTTGTCCATCTGTTTGTTAGTATGTTTGAATGTATATCCATTGCACTTTTGTTGTGATGCAATAGCTCAGATAGTTTTCAGCATAATGTTTCATGTTTTGTGCAGAAGTACTTTACTGTAAGAGCAAGACCCTATAGATTTGTCTAGTATCTGAATTATGTTTGAATGCACATGTATATTCTTGACACTTTTGTTGTAACTTCATAATTCAAACAGTTTTAAGCATAATGTTTTCAAATTTTACACAGAAGAATTTTACTAGAGAAAAGCTGATATAAAGTTAAGGGTCATATCACTTCGTCTGTCTTTATGTATGTATACTTAAATGTATATCTTATAAGTCCTTTAACAGCCCTTAGCAGGGCCCTCTATGGCTGTCAGTTTTTTGGTTTGATTTAAAGTCTCATTAAAACTGAAAATAGCATTTATATTGCCTGGTAACATATGGCTGTGTGCTTTAGATGCATGTAGATGAACCATTGCTTCAGTTTGATTATATTTCCTTACATGCTTATTTTGAAACTAACTCACTCACTTTTATGTTGTAGATATTGACACGTGTACTGAGTGTGCATGTGATTTTTCCAGCATCTAACATATTTGGTTTTTATCATGGTAACTTTCTAACCTTCATTTTACTAACTTGAAAATGACTTGCTTATGTTTTCCACTTTTATTTTCCTCATCATAAGGCTTTAAAGATACACATAACCATCTCTAGTGTTTGTCTTTTTGTGTTTGTTATGACTACTTTTAAATTCGTTTAATGTCAACTCATTACTTAATTTATGGTATGAATAAGAAGTCACTAAGGCTGTAGAGAATAATCTATGAAAACTGTGATATTTCATTAATTGAATATCAATATTATTAATGTGAAAAACAGTATTACCTTGTTAAGAATCTTTGCACTGTAATTCTGTCTTTTTGCACCTTTCATCTACTTATAAAAATAAAATTGTATTTGAATGTTAAGAATTTGTGTATTTTTTTTTTGTTTTGTTATTTCAGTTAGCCTACTATGGGGATACAGAGAGAGTGGTGGATTTTTTCCACAAAGCTGATGTTCCCATGGCACCACACTACAACCCAGCAGATTTTATATGTAATTGTCCTACTCTAATATTTTAAAAATACAAAGTATTCCTTTGAAAATATACTGAATGTATCCGTACACACCTGCTAAGGTTCTGTAGGGGTAAAGTTACTTAAAAATCTAGAAAGTTCCATGGAGCTACTGCTTAGAAAAACATTGCACAGTTTACAACTTGATATGCCATCAGAAACTTCAGAGGGTCCATTCATATACCAGAAAAATATGTAACTAAAGTCATCATGTCTATTGTTTGTCACTGCATGTTCATCTGCCCATACAATTGTATGTCTGTAGAGGGTTTGGTATTGGTCCGCATTTAGGTCAGTTCCAGGTTTATGACAACCCCCTCCCCCTCCAAAAAAAAAATATATAGATGTGTATCCATCTGGTTTTCTTTATGAATATATGAACATAGGTTGAATATTTTAGAACATCTATCTATTCAAAACATCTTGGCAGTTTTAGTTCATGTATGTACTTTGTGATGGTTTATTTTTGTGTATTTTTAGTGGAAAAACTTACAGAAGATGACAAAACAAGATTAAAAATCATAAGTGCGATGGATCAGATAAGGTATGAAGGAATATTTTTTTTTTTTTTTTTGGTATTATAATCTATACTTTTGTAAAGTACTTGAATGAAACTAAACTTGATATGTTTCCCATCCCAGCCTGACTCACATGTATGTTGAATTCTTTGACTTGAAAGATGGAACTTGATAATAAAAGTTTCTTACCATACATGTAGAAAAAGACAAAATTAATATAAAAAAAGCAATAGACTGCATATATATGGTAATTATGTACTTTTTTTTAGCTTATTTTAAATTTGTTCACTCAATAAAATTTTCCTTTAAAACTAATGACTTGTCAAAAGAAATTTTAATTTATAATTACAATCCCAGCAATTTCACCATACCTTGAGAGCAGAATTTGACAGAAATGGGCTTTTTAAACAATTTTGTACAGGAATACTGTACGTGTACATAAATTGGCGTTTTCAAATTTTAGCGCAATCACTGGATATGTAGTTATTGGCGAAATCATGAATTAGCGCTATACATGTCTGTGTCGTATATTGTATTTATAAATGATTTCTTAGCGGTATTCATGAATTAGCACATCATTGTCTGCGCTAAAGCCGCTAAAATATGAAGCCAGCTTTTTTAAGTACACATAGAGTAATAGTCATATACCTTAATGAGAGTTATCTCTCTTATCTGAGGGTCAATGAACCATAAGATTTGGTGAATTTGTTTTTCTTAAACATTTTCTGCCTTTTTTTTTCTTTCATAGAAGACATTGTATATTGCAGGAACAGTTCTAATTGGTCAGTGAAATTAAGAAGCACTGGACATATTATAGATGAAAACATGGAATCAGAACCTACATACTCTGAGGACATTATGGAACAACCTTCTAATGGTAGCAATAATGCATTTTACATGAACCTATATTACATAAGGAATGTTTAATCTCTCTATATATTTTTTTTTCTTTTGAATAATGCTTTAAGGACAGATGATACAAACAAACTTTTGTCAAAAATCTGGAAAATAACATCTTAAGTCATGTTCAAAGGAGTAAAATGAATAACTTTAACCACATTTTCATTTTTCATTCAAATTTTCACAATAATGGGATTTAAAGTGGCGAAAAGTTGTATAGATTAATAAGGATGGTTACAGAAAGGTAGAATTTTGAGCATCATAGAAAGTTTACAATTTCTTAATATTTTAGAAATTTATTATTCGCATCATTTACAACCAAAATAGGTCAAGAAATATATATCAATCCAGGCATCCATTTTTTTGTATCATCTGTCCTTAGAAGACATGCATTAATATTTTATTTCTCTTTTCAGAAAATGACAGTGTCCATGTCAGTTTAATGGAGTTAGATAAAACTGATGATAGTTCATCTCCAAACCCACTCCATGAGAAAAAGTGGCCCACCGGCTTCATCACCCAGTACACACAGCTTACAATCAGAACATTCAAGACGTCAAAGTCCCAGTTATTCAACAAATTTAAACTCATAGAAACTCTGGTGCTAACAATTATTGTGAGCTTGATTTGGTTCCAACTACCAAGAACTGAAGAAACTCTAAGAGACAGGATGGGTGTGGTAAGTGATCCATAGAATTAGGCTAAACAAGTGATCCATGAAAATAAGCTAACCAAGTCATCCATGAAAATAAGCTAAACAAGTCATCCATGAAAATAAGCTAAACAAGTCATCCATGAAAAAAAAAATCAAAGGTTTCATGTACCTTTTGTAATTAAGAAACAAATTTGTAATGTAGACAACATTGTATTTTTTAATGTTATTTTTCATCATTTTTCAGCTGTTCTACATGTCCATGCACTGGGGATTTACTCCTCTCTTTGACACAGTAACTACATGTAAGTACATGTATTTGATGTTAAATATGTCTGAGTTCTGTATAGCCATTTTTTGCTCACCTGAGCCAAAGGCTCAAGTGAGCTTTTCTGATCAAAATTTGTCCGTTGTCTGTCTTAGAACAGCAAAGTCTTGATTGGTCATATTTATATGGAAGCATCCTCAGGTAGTGTTGATTCAAGTTTGTTCAAATTGTGACCCCTGGGGGTAGGATGGAGCCACAGTGGACGATCAAAGTTTTACATAGGAATACATAGGGAAAATCTTTAAAAACCTTCTTTTCAAGAACAACAAAGCCATGATTGGTCATATTTATATGGAAGCATCCTCAGGTAGTGTAGATTCAAGTTTTTCAAATATCCCCCCTGACCCTGGGGGTAGGGTAGGGTCACAGTGGGCAATCAAAGTTTTACATAGGAATACATGTATATAGGGAAAATATTCAAATATTGTATTCTCAAGAACAGCAAATCTATGATTGGTCATATTTATATGGAAGCATTCTCAGGTGGTGTAGATTCAAATTTGTTCAAATCATGACCCCTGGGGGTAGGGTAGGACCACAGTGGATGATCAAAGTTTTACATAGGAATATATAAGAAATATTTCAAAAAATCTTCTCAAGAACAACAAAGTTATGATTGGTCATATTTATATGGAAGCATCCTCAAGTGGTGTAGATTCAAATTTGATCAAATCATGACCCGGGGTAGGGTGGGGCCACAATGGACGATCAAAGTTTTACATAGGAATATGTAGGAGAAATCTTAAAAAATCTTCTTCTCAAGAACAGCAAAGCCATGATTGGTCATTTTTATATGGAAGCATCCTCAGATAGTGTAGATTCAAGTTTGATCAAATCATGACCCTCAGGGGTAGGTAGGGGCCACAGTGAAAGTTTAAACTAGTAGGAAAAAAGTCACAGTTAGTCAAAAAAAATATTTAAGCATCCTTAGTTAATGTAGATTCAATTTTGTTCAAATCATATCGCCCCCTCCCTTTTAGGGGTAGGTCGGGACCACTTATGCATTTAAGCATTGCAATACTAAATTGATTTTTGCTTTTTTCCTAGCCACAGTGCTCAGATGAGCGATGTGGCCCCTGGGCCTCCTGTTTTCAACAATTACCTAAAGGAAATGACAGGGTATTTTAAGAATTATTCCTTGTAAGTGAAAAACAATGGAGTTCCTTATAAGGATTATTAGATTTTATTGTATGAAATGTTTGATATATTTTAAATAATTCTTGATGCATTATTGTGTACATGTATTTATAATATGGGTGTCTTTGAATTCTGAATGTTTATGAATACATCTACCTTGGATAGTAGCATTAATTAGTGATGGGAATCGGTAAGAATTTCATAATCGATGATCAGGCTACTGTAACTAACTAATTATCAATTATAATCGGACATTTACAAAGTTTGTCAGTTTAGTTTATTGAATGGTAAGAATGGGTGAATAACTACTTTCTGTGGTGGTCCACCTGTAGTTAGAATAATCTAACTGTGTCTCAGGGCAAGCCTTAGTCCATAGGACAATATCTATGGAACGTTCCATCTAGTCCAGCTGGTTCATCATTCACTTTGTAGAATCCAAAGTACGTCCATACCCGGGAATTAGCGTTGTTACCCGGGTATGAATAAAATGTCTGTTCGTCTGCGCCATTACGATGCACAAATAAGTTAATAGACAAGTCGCAGCTGGAATATTCAGCTTAAAAATCATTATGCTTGTAAAATTAAATAAATTACCCGATTAATCAGAATAAAAATTTTGTAATCAAGTGCTTGGATTATGCCAACAATCGACTGATTTTCGATTATAATCGAGAATTGGAACACCACTAGCATTAATCATTTATTAACCAATTCCTGTTTTGTTTCATTTTCAAATTGATATTTATCTTAATTAATCACTAAACACCATTTGTTTTTTAATAAAACTTACTTCATATAAGCAAATAAAAGCTAGTTTTCTTCATTTCAGTTCCCTTGGAGAGAATTGTCATAAACAAGGAAAGGCAGGCTGGATGGTATCGACTCTCGGCCTACTACCTGGCAAAAATGACCAGCGAACTGGTGCTCATAGTCATACAGCCTTTGGTCTTCATCACAGTTGTATACTGGTGTGTGGGTCTAAATGGGGTTTGGTCATACTTTGCCACACTGGGAACTCTGTTTATACATGCTGTGTCTGGACAGGTGAGTGTGTACATGAACTTCCATTACAAATATCAATTAAGTCCTTTTTTTTCCAAGATATTTTTAAAAAAAAAAAATTTTAAGTGTACAAAAAAAACCCTTTTATTTTAATTTTAAGAGAGCGCAAGCAATTTACCTGACATTGTGTACGTTTTATGTAAATGAAGTGTACTATTTGAAATGCACTGTATTTAGTGGTTCATTTTAAGGTTCATTGACCTGATCATAAGATAGATAACTCAGTTTCTCACTGGGATATACGACTAGCATTCCTTTACATAATAAAACTGTCACTTTGAAAGGCCATTCTTTCAAAATTTATTCCAAATAGTCTGCTGAATTATTAAAGCAAAATTTATACTAGATGCTGTCATAAGACAATAATACCCACACTAAGGTGTTTGCCTCTAAATGCACACTCCTTCATATTTGGGTAACCAAGGAAAAAGCCACGATAATTCCATAATTTACACAGTACATGTATTTGTCAAATCGAGCATGAAATGCACAGGTGAACAATTGTGGCCCATGGGCCTCTTATTTAAGTATTTCATAAACATAATTCATTACCAGTCTGAATTTACAGAATTTAATTAATGATGTAAATTATTTTTTAAAAAAAGAGGGGGGGGGGGTGTAAATTTTGGCCCATAATTGGAAATTTTTCTATTTTCAAAAAAACAAATATTATTATTCTAGTGCATATGGTTTTTTGATGAACTTTAAATAAAAATTAGATGCCAACTTTCAGAACTGATCAAAGGGATGATGTACCATAAGTTTACTGTTGCCATAGTGCTATTATAATACTGGTGTTTTATATTTAATACAGAGTGTGGGACTCTTTCTGGGAATAGTCAGTATGGACATCAGGAAAGGAATGACCCAGGCTACCATCTATATCATGGCAACAATGCTACTGGGTATCATTACATCAGAAACTTCACATTTGTTACCTCTACTCAAAAGATAAATCCCTCCTTTCTTTTTTCAAATGAATGCTAGATTTTTATATTTATTTATATGTGAAAGTGTCATGTTTAAATTTTTACAATATTTTTCACAATTTGTTTAGGTGGCTTTTATACCAGGAGCCTTCCTTTTTGGTTGGATTGGATCAAGTACCTGTCCTTTCTGCAGTATACGTTTAGTGCCATGATGTATCTGGAATTTTATGATGGACCAAATATAAAGTAATTTCTTCAGTATATCACATTTCTTATTACTCAATGTTATTTAGTTTTTGAGTAAAAGAAAAGTAATTGTGTGTATCCTACATATTGATTGTTTTCTATTCGTATGTACAGTATTCAAGTAAGAAGAAGAAATAGAAGAATTTTAAGATTTTATTTTTGATTATAGGATAACAAAAATGTTGGCTAAAATAATAAATTTGCTTTGTCTTGTTTTCTGAATACATCTATCATTTCCTTTATAGTTGTGCCATGAAGACTGCAGTATCAGAGTCCCAGTTCAGCACCTGTCTGTACGGTAACTCCACTTCCATTCCTTCCAATGAAGTGCTCCACTTGTACGGGGTCAATCAGCCATATTGGACTTATATTCTGCCACTGTTTGCCTTTATCTCCATCTTTAGGATTGGAGGATACCTCATGTTGAGATTTAAACAAAAGCCAAACCAAACACACTGAGCTCTCCACTTCTTTTTATGGGATTTTATCCTAAAAACTTTAATGCACTGGTTCTTTACACTCTTGCTTGACTCAAGTATTAAGAAAATACAGAATGTTTTACATTTACACTTCAGGGATAAAATAAATATTCGGACATATTTATGTTAAAGAAAATTTGTTGACTATATTGTTATTATAGCAACATATATAAAAAATGTATATTTTTTAATATTATGTATACATTCATATTCAAGAATGAAGTTTTCGTCTTGTGCTTAGTCCCAGTCCATTTAAGACAGTTTCAAAAGTCATATAAATAGTTATCAATTGATTCATGCTTGTACATGTCCTTGTATTAGCGTATATTGTGATTTGTTGATATCTTTGATATCTTTTAACATATTAATAATCACCATTATTCACTATTGTGAGTAACAGTTATGAGGTACATGTACTATTATAAAATAATACATATCTGGGGTTTTTGTGTTGTTAAAGGATTTTTTAAGTCAGGTCTCATCTGAAAGACCCACAAAATTTTCACTTTAAAATGCCAAGTGCTTGGCGAAGTAACAGTTACTATCTATTTTTCATCAACTGTCTGTCGTGGTGGGGGCTTGAACCTATGACCCTCTGATCAAGCGACAAACATTGCGGGAATATTATAAATAAATGTATGTCCTCAGCTTTAACAAATCTTGTCAATGCATAAGTTCATACAGGTGTGAAGCTGCAAATTTCCAAATTTTGTGAATTCACAACGTGGTAGCTCTATAGGCAGTAGTCATTATATGAGTTATAGAATCAATATCCCATACTTCCATCAAGGCCATAAAGTTGTGTGTAAAACTAAAAGAAACTTTTCCAAGTCATTTCTCAGATTGTTTCAAACCTTTGGTATAATGCACATAGGTGGATTTAATGAATGGAATTACACTCCTGACTTCTTACAATGCTGTAGAAAAGCCACATCCATGTAGATTCAGTGACAATAAATCAGCGTAATAATGTTTTAAATTTTATTTGATACAAGTTATGTATATCTAATGAAACACTTCTTTAGTTTACATCTTCCACAATAATACAACAACCACAATAATACAACAACTGCATTTCTACCATTTTACAGGACAGAGAATTCATAATTAAACAAGCTAATTCAGAGAAATTGTATCCCCCGCTTAAGGAAAAAAGGAGAGGGTGGAAGAACTGGAAAAATTTTGCAGATGGAGAAAGAAAAAGGGTCAACCTTGACCTTTCAGCTTTTGACCTGAAAGTCAATAGGAGTTTTTTTAAAGTTAAAGAAACTAATTCTTATCTGAAAACTATAATTTGCAATGTATTTCTGACCTTGACCTTTAGACCTCAAAATCAATATGGTTTTTGTTTAAGGACATGAGGAGTTGTTATATAAAATTTCATTGCAAAGTCTTTTTAAGATATAGTTAGGGATAGAAGTGTTACACCGACAGAATGTATGAATTTATACCTCTGATCTTTTGACCTCAAGACTTTTTAAGATATCATCTGGAAACGAAATTTTACACACAGATAGAATGTATGAATTATTACCTTGACCTTTTGACCTCAAATTCAATAGGGGTCTTCTTTAGCTCATGGGGAGTTGCGTTATAAAATTTCATCGCATAAGCTCAAAGGCTTCTTGAAAAATCGTCATGGTCAAAGACTAAAATATAAAACTATAAAACCATAACTATACAGTTCTGCATGGACGGTCAGACAGATCCAAATTAATATGCCACACTTTCAGTGAAAGCGGGGGACAACAATAATATACAGAGAGAAAATCAAAACAAAACAAAAACAAACTTTACTACATTTTTTCTTTCAAAAAAAAAAAGGGCTTTCGCCAAAAAAAAAAAAATCAATAGCGCTCAAAGTAAATAAATAATAATTTACTCCTGAGAATAAAAGAATTGGAGGAAGTCAAATTTTTGTTCAAACCTAACATGCCATATATTGAACAAGCAATTCTGAGAGTATTGCATTAGCAATACTAATCCCCTACAGGCAAGTGTAATCTGGTTCCCGCTAAAAATTGAAAATGCCATAATTCCGTCAAAAATCAATGAATCGGAACGAAATGCAAACTTGATCTATAACTCAAGGTTAAGTCACATGCCAAAAATCAGCTCAATATCTGCAAGCGTTTAGAAAAAAAAAAAAGGCGGAAAACCTTGAAAAATTGAAAAGATGGTAATTCCGTCAGAAATCATTCAAGCGGAACGAAATGCAAACTTGATCTGTAACTCATCAAGATACACTCACATACCAAAAATCAGCTCAATATCTGCAAGCGTTTAGAAAAAAAAGTGCGGAAAACCAAGTGGGACAGACTGACAGAGGGACAGACAGATGGACGGACAGACTCGGAGGAAACTTATAGTCCCCTCCGGTTTCACCGGTAGGGGACTAATAAGTGGTTTACTAGTCCGTTTTCCTGTCGCAGCCCTTAAATTTGTATACCTTTGCAATGCAGACCCGTGGAAAACAATTGAGGGAGGAGAGGGTGCTAAGTATAATTAGTCCCCTACCAGTGAAACCGGAGGGGAATATAGGTTTCCTCTGAGTCTGTCCGTCCGTCTGTCGGTCCGTCTGTCTGTCTAGCTGTCTGTCTGTCAGTCTGTCCCACTTGGTTTTCCGCACTTTTTTTTTCTAAACGCTTGCAGATATTGAGCTGATTTTTTGTATGTGAGTGTATCTTGATGAGTTACAGAACAAGTTTGCATTTCGTTCCGCTTCATTGATTTTCGACGGAATTACGGCCTTTTCAATTTTTAGGGGTTTTCCACAATTTTCTTCTAAAAGCTTGCAGATATTAAGCTGATTTTTGATATGTGGCTTAACCTTGATTAGTTATAGATCAGGTTTGCTTTTCGTCCTGCTTCATTGATTTTTGACGGAATTACGGCATTTTCAATTCTTAAAGAGAACCAGATTACACTTGCCGGTAGGAAACTAGTATTGCTAATGCAATACTCTCAGAATGCTGAGTATAATTCTTTTTTTTTTTTTTTTTTTTTTTTTTTTTTGAGAAGCCTAAAGCAGATCATTATAATTGAGGGGACACTAACGTGTATTAGCTTTGTTTTGTGTGGCATATAATTATTGTACTTGTAAAATGATTGGGGGCATCTCCCTCCCACTTGGCTTGCAAGTTTACTCAGTCTCGGTAGGAATATGGGGATCAAACAGTTTGCAATTTTAATTGAACCAAAAATACGGCAAATATTGCGCAATGGTAGAAATCATCTCTTTTTTACAGTAATAGATGATTCAAGGTCACCTCAACCAAAAAATGAGCTGATAAGTTGTGTATTCAAAGTTGCCCTTGACCTTTAATTATGGTCATTCCTATTTATTTTTACAACAAAGCATGGATTTTAACTCATTTCTTAATTGTGTAATGTGAGAACAATATATGATCGGGTTCAAAATGGAATTAAAATTAGCTGCTGCAAAGCTGACAATAGTAACGCCTTGAGGAGTGGTAGTAAAAATGAGAGAAATATTAAATGGCCCAGTGAACAGGAACAGGGCCAGAAGGATCTTGCTCACTAATTTTATCGATTTAATGACCCTCTTTCTCTTTATATCCCCCATCTTCCCAGTATCTGAGCCAGTTGACATATTCATGTATCGTTTCCTCACCTGATAAATCGTAAGGACATAGAAAATCAGGGTCAGTGCCATAAGGGTTGCGCTTAGGGAATATAGTATCAGGCGTGCAATGTTCTGATTTCTACCAAAGATAGTTGAATAAAAGCATTTGGATTGGTCTCTGCTCGGGGAAATGAGTGATGAAAAGAGGGTGCTTGCTGTAGCCCAACTAACAATGTAAATGTAATATTTCCGATTGCCATCAAAGAGGCGTTGTGCCCAGGCATTTTCTGACAGAACAAGGAACCGATGAAGACTAATACAAAAAGTCTGAAAAAGCGACATGATCAAACTTGTTGTGGCGCATAAATTCACCATGATGCACCAAACTACTGCCCCAGCAAATTCTGGAATGAGTAATCGACTTCCAGCCAAGAAGGAGGTGCACCCCATCAGAAAGTCACTCAGAGACAAGCCCATAACGAGATTATAGTTTGTGTTTTGTCGGAGTTCAGAGTTTCTTGCAGAGACCACCATTACTAGAGCATTTATTACCATGACAACAACCCCCACGCCCATCATAGCTGCAGGGATTACAGTGGGCATTGGAATCATCGTGGGGAATGAACTGTTTGTCCATTTGTATGTGGAGTTATCAGTCTTGTCGTCAACCCAGCTGGAAGGGGTGGACGTTTTATAGTCTGTCGTTTGATATATTTTGCTGCTTGTGCTGTGTTGTTTGTTACTAGGCTTGGTCATTTTGGTCCACTCACTAGATGTGAAGGAGTCCTGATAAAATTCAGTGGTTCTGTTATGAGGTTCCATTATTGTAATTGTCGAAGGCTTGGTCCATTTGTATGATGAGTCAGTCGTTTCTTTGCTTTCAACATTCATAATGTCAGCAGTTGCATGGACCAGCACGATCATCAATAAAGTCGTCGTAACCACACATTTCTGAACTCTCGCCATAATAAGGATGGTTGTTCTAATTTGAATGATATGAAGAGCCCCCGTTAGCTTGCGCTTACTGTTTGTTTCACTTGTTGGTTTAAACCTGCATAGTAAAGATAATTCTTGACATATGTATGGTCTGATACATGTATCTGTTTCATATTTGGAAATTTTACTAGAAAGAAAAAAAAACGTAAATGGTAACCTAACAACAAAACTTAATGATAATAGTGATGACTTTAACTTTCCTATCGTCAACTTCCCTTACTTATGGAGCAATATACCGGCCCTTATCACTTGCATATTGGGTTTATGTCTCCCAATTGATTTGATACGCAAGAGCATGCTGCACATACGAACAATTCCTAAACGAGGCTAGCTATTGACATACAAGTTCAGGTAAGCTATTGACATACAAGTTGATGAAACAAGAATATCAACACTCTTGTTTGAAGTCATAATTTCGCAAGTTCTAGCTAAATACAATGACCTTGTCAGCAAATACAATTTATCATTAAGTCAAATGCTGACTTATGTTTTTCATACTAATTGTTAGGTCATTATTTACACATTGATATATCTACGGATTTTTCCCGATCATGACAAGGAGCACACTGCGGGTGTGACGGTCGTCAAGGGATTCTTACTCCTCCTTGGCACTTGGTACCACCTCTGATGTTTTGAGAGGTCCGTGTTTGCTCTGCTCCCAATTTGTATTGTTCACTTTTGAGCTTGATTACTGTTTGTTATCTCCATATTTGATGGTATAAATTATTTTCAAAATTTCTTAATTTCAGTAGAAAGTTCAAGAAATTAACACTGATATAGTTATTCAAAATGTATCTATCATGAATAAAGATAATCGGTTTCTTTGATTTCTTTTTCAAAAACTATTTTCAATGGATTGGTTTTA